TGTCCAAGGCTCCATGTTAGGATTCAAACCCAGGCATTCCAAAATGAAGAGGCTGTGCCCTTAACCATTATGCTACACCCTCTTCTGTTCCTGTCTGATTCTAAATATCTTTAAGCTCAAATTCTAGTCCCCTAACTTCCTTAAAGAATAATGCTTAATACATAGATGAGCTTATTCGGTGTCATGAATCTTTCAAGCACTTCACTTATATGAATCCCTATAACAACTCACTGAAAAGGGAACTATTCTTGTTTTCCATCTTGTCAGCAAAGAAGTGGAGGCAGAGATTGAGTTCTCAAGGCCGCACAGCTTGTACTGGTAGAACTGGGATGAGAGCCAGTCTACAACTGGTCCAGAAGCCATACTCACTAGCAGTGCCCTGCCGAGCTGCTGCCGTCCTATCATATAGGAAGTGAGTGTCTAAACAAGGGGCAGATCTGTGCATGGAGACCCTGCCATAAAACAGACTCTGACAGTCTTTGGGCTGTGTGTGTATGTGGTCCAGACTTCAGTGGTTTTTATATTGGTAGAAAATATCAAATGGGCAGCAGATAAAGACAGCTATCATGAAAAAAGCAGTCACGAAAATTAGAGACTGTTTACACAAAAATTCAGAAACTAATGCCTAAACAATAAGCTATTTTTTAATGAGTCCACAGCACTTTTATACATGTACTCATTTAATCCTACAAGTTGGGTAACCGACTATCAACCCATTTTACAGATAAGGAAATGGAGGATGAAGGGGCAAAGAGATTGCTAGTAAGTAAGCGGCAGAGCTGGGATCTGACCCAGGCAGATGTCGGTCGATCATCCCCACTCGACTTGTTGTTAGATGCCTCAGCAGACAAGTCCCATTCAGCCGGCAAATGACTTTTTAAAGAGAGAACATAAAGAGCAAAGAAAAATTATCTTGCAACTATTAAAAGCTATTGCACCAAATAGAAAAGTAAAATAATTGAAAAATTCTTCCTCCCTTTTGAAAACATGCATGTGACTGTTTATCTGAAATGGCTGAAACTCAGTCCAAGTAGAACATTCGCCCTGGCACCTGTAGGAGGGCCAATTGCTGGCAGAATAATGACAGTGCTGGGCAGAGTGCGGAATGGGGGTTTGGATGTATTTGTGCGTGGGCGTCTGTCATGTCAATCTGCCAAACCCACACGCCATCAGATACCCTCTGAAGTAGAGTGACTGTAGACAGCAGCCCACTCCTGCTCAGGTACCCAAAATAGTCAGGAGCCATGCAGGAAACAAAATCCAAACCCGATTCCCTGCACTCAACGCTGCCACACACGGGCTTCTCCCTCACATAGCTCCTTACCCCACGGGGGCCCCACCCCTCAACTCCGGGCAAGCACAGGAAGAATCGAGTGGAATTAAGCTTTAGAGGAGTGGACATACCTCCTAGTAGAGCAGTATGTCTTCTGGACATGGTTTTATTTTAAAGGTAGGGTCAGCTAGACATGGGCAACTGACTTTTTTATTAATAATAAAAGCAGTTCAATTAATGTCATTATAATCCTGAGAGAGAACTTTTACTACTCTCTTCATGATATAGAATATTTGTTACTTACTGAATTCAAATTCTATTAGTCTGGATGCAGCAACAGTTTTAACTAATTCAGGGGCAATAATCTTTAATTAAGGTAGTTTGTTTCTATGAATAACTTCCTAATGGCTTCCACTCCCAAACTTTGCTACAGAAGGAGGGCAACTGTGGCATGTAGAAAGCACACAGCCCTTTGGGGCAGGAAGCTTGGATAAGCCTGCTGACAAGTCACTCAGCAAAGAGTGATACTTACTCAGTAAAGAGTGATACTTACTCAGTAAAATAAATATCAGGGTTGGTATTACAGAATGTGCAGTCAGCCTGGGTTTGTAACCCAGCTCCATTGCTTACTGTCTGTGTAATCTGGGGCAAATTACTTAACCTTTATGACCCTTTATTTCTTCATCTTTGAAAAGGGATCGTTTTTGTACCGACCTCTAGGGTGCTTATGAGGAATAAATGAGTTAAAGTTTGTAAACCAGTCTCACAGTGCCTGATTCACAGTGAGTACTATGTGAATATTTGATGAAGAGAATAAAATAGATATAAAGGTTAGAAGACTTACATGCAGGAAACAAGCAGAGTGCTCGTGTCATCTCTGGCCCTCCACGGGGAGTTCTCCTTAAATCTCAGCAATACAGACACAGCAGCCCGCGAGCTGCTGAGAGATGCTGCAACTCTATCCAGCAAGCTCAGAGACGATCTGTGCAAATTCTCATCCCATCACTTACTTAGCTTCTGTTGGCTTCCTCTCTCTGTCTCAAACTGTCTTTCACCTGTTCGGTGATGATGGGAAACCAGCTACAGAATACAAAATAAGATTGCAGTTCACAAGAGCAAACTCGTTTTTGAAAGAACAGAGAAAGAGGACTTGGGCGCTCTGATCTATTTCACTGACTCTGTGAACATCATCAAAGAAGAATCTCGTATTGTTGCTTTTATTTAGGAAGATCTGTCAACTTGAAAAATATTATATAAGAATTTAAGTCACATCAGGATAGGTTTAAACTATAGGACAAGTCTTAGAGAATTACAAATAACAACCTAGTTTTCTCTAAATAGGCTCCAGTGAATCTCAGAGACTTGCTGAGACTCCTTTAGCTCTAGTATTTGAGCGCCTTCCTAGTTCAGGTATTTTGCGTATGTGTATCCACATATACGAGCTCTTTATTTTACAGACACCCACACCCACATGCCCCAGAAGTGCTATTTGAGTACTTATCTAAATAGACAAGTACTTGTTGAAAATAAAAATGTTCTGACCAAAGCAGTTGCATAGAAAAGGGATTTTATCCACTGAGAGCAGAGGAGAAAATACGATTTGGCCCAACAATGTGCACATGAGCACTGGCTGTGACCTCTAGAATGAGGGATGTAATGGATCTGAGTATTTGGACATTTATAATTTTTGTTTCTTTTTAATGTGCATAAATGTGTGTCATATAAAATAGAAAATATAAACAAAGGGAAAAAAGTTTAACAAAAATTGGAATGACCACTGTGCTAAAGCTGTGGGCTAGGAAACATGTTCCCAGATTGCTCGGACAGGGAGGACTGGGAGCTTTTGAATATTCTGCTTCTGTTTCTTACACCAAACAATTAAGAGTATTAAATGAAACCAAAGAGAGAGCCAAAATCCAGGAGTCGAAAGACCTGCTTCTAATTCTGCTTTGTTATTAAATAGCTTGTGTGACCTTGAGTAGGCCCCTGGCCTCAGTTTCCTCACCCATCAAGAAGGTCACCTGGACTAAAGGACTCCACAGGATTCGAGGACGCAGCCGTTTCTATTACAAGCTTATGAACGTGATCCTCTGGTACAGCTGGCATCCTTTCCTGGAACACTCATAAAATCCTTTTTCTTTTCTTTCTTTCTTTTTTTTTTTTTAGATAAGTATTTTTTATTGAAGGGTAGTTGACACACAGTATTACATTAGTTTCAGGTGTACAACACAGTGAAAATCCTTTTTCTTAACTGAAGAATTCCTCCAAAACTTTTGGTGATATAATTTCAAAGCAAGCCCTCCCAAACCGTGGGGTGACTCTCCCCACCCCAGGTCACCTTCCTAGTGTGGGGCACGGGAGGTAAGAACAGTGAAGGACTTGAAACCCTACTGGGGGCCTGGCATTGTGCCTTGCTTTGTAGCTGTTGTCCTACCCGGGCTGCTGTTATTTACCAGCAGGGCATATAAATTCACTTGTTAAGGACCCATTATGTTGAATAAGATGCGCTAATATGTTTATTTTCTTCCTTCCTCCCTATGGTCAGATGCAATTTCTATGCAAATGCTTTGCTCAGAACACACTTATTTTTAGGTACAAGGATTCTTCTACTTTGACAGGAAGATTTGGAACCACTATTATAAATTGCACAGAATTCCTCCAAAGAAGAAGTGGCTTATTTCATTCTTATGTACTGAGACTGGCAGAGCTTAAATGGGCTTCTTCCAGGTGTCCTGAGGGCTGACAAAATTCACAGAAACCAAAGCAAACCTCTAGACCACTTCTTAATGCCCCAGGAAAGAGACGGAAGTAGAGCTTCATTGCTTGGTGCCCAGAGCTCAGAATACATCTCACTGAAGAGTTAACTGACCTACCCAATATTATTTACAAGAAGAAATGGTGTAATTGGTTGCTATTTTTATTTGGGGGGTAAGTTAGCTTTCTTTGCATTCCCACTGCTCAGTCAAGAACTTGTCGTAAAGAATTACAAATCTCATGACGTATGTTATCAGCCTGTTCCCCACACCTTCCAACCCTGCTTATGTGTCATCTATTAAGACAGGTCTCCCCTGATGGCCCCATATAAAGGCAGCCCCTTTACATTTTGTCTTCCTACTTTAAGTTTCCGCATGTATTAGACATGTTGGTATGTGCATCTACTGTCTGTCTGCTCCCACTGGAAAGCAGGTTCCCGAGGAGGCTCTTTTTTTTCATGGCACATCTCCACTGTGAACGGAAGCACACGTTGTAGGTGCGCAGCAAATGATACATTCAACAAGTAAGTCAGAAGCCCTCCATTGTGAATAAAGAATATTTAAAAGCAATAAAAAATAAAGAATTATTTAAGGGTAACTATAAATTGCCACATTTGCCCTAGCCCCCATAGGGATAGCTTTCTTAACACACAGTTTTATCAATCACTTCACCACCAAATGTTTTCACAGCTCGGCCTCTGTGATTAGAAATGGGCATGTCTAGTGTAAAGCTTTACAATTATTTTCCTTCGTTTGCTCTCAAAATGCACTTTGATGTCCCATTCTCTTCAAGTCTTTTTGAAGTAAGGGAGATGCTTCTCACCGCATGGGTTTCAAAGAAGGCTTCATGTTTTACAATAAAAAATGACTTGGTTAGGACTGCTCTTGGCTCCAGCCAGCAGTTCCACAAAAATGAAGGTACTTGCCTAAGTACCGTTGAGGAACTCGTGTCGATGGGAGGTGGGGGCACTTACTGCTGGAGCAGGGCGTGTCTTTAGGGCTGGATGACATGGGCTGTGCACAGAGTTGACACAGGCAGTCTCTCCCATTGAACGTGACTCGGTCTCCGGGTGGAAACGGGCGCCTGCAGACAGAAAGACATCACTCTCAAGGTTACCCCAGCAATTTCATTCCTTTTCCTTATTCCTGCTTGCTGCCCTATGGTGCCAATTCATTTCTTTGAGGGGCACGAGCCAAAATGTCTGAAATGCAGTCTTAACCCAGCCAGCCAGCTGGATGTGGGCCAAACAAATAAACATGCCTCATTTTGAGAAGAAGGGAGAATATACCGCTTCTAAAGGCAACCAGACAGTCAAATGGAATGATTTACCTCTAATCATTAGTGGAGGGATGTTCCAACAAGTCACTTAGCCAGGCACACATGATAAAATTTTCCATTTTCTAAATGGAAAATCTTTCGGGAAGAAATATCTTAAATGCCATAAATTCCTATTCAGGCTAACGGCCCCTCCCCAAGAGAACTGGTTACAAGTGAAGCATTAACTCTCTTTCAGTTTCCTGTACCTATGTGATAATTATGCTGAATTAGGCTTTGTCCTGAACATCTGAATGGGTGAACTGAATGTTTCACAGTGCTGGAGACCCAGTCCCTTTTGGAGAAATACAACACTGCTGTAAATACCTGTTTAAAAAAGAGCTTTTTTTTTTTCAGAAGGATAATTTCCTTTCATGTAGACATTCCTCAGTAACATCCCACTGTGCAAAAATACCGCCTTCTCACGTATGTTTATCAGTTTCTTTTCCTTCCAGGTCAGCAAGCGGATCACTTTTTAAAAAGTCGTAATTAATAGCCATCTGACAATTCCCATGCCTGTTTATTTGCAATTGGCCAATTTGCCAATAATCTTCATCAACACAAGTTTTCAAATGTGGGATTCTGTCAATTAGGAAATGTAAAACTCCCAGGTGAAACATCCCCACATATCTGAGTCAGAAGCAATTACTTAATAACAAATTCAAGCTTCTCGATAGAGTTTTACTTTCACAGCCACTATCCTTCCTTAAGTTGCCCTGATGCTGCCTGACCGTTGGTAATTAACTGTAAAACACAGATACTACATTTGGACTTAACTCCACAAGTGACTTGATACCATTCATCAAGGAGAACATCCCCAAATTTGGTGCTGAGTTGAGATGGGCTTCTCTCCCCTTGCGGTGCTGTTACTTTCCATTGTTCAGAGAAGGCGCAGAGAGGTTAAGTGATTTGCCTGGATTGACCAGCTTGCCTGGAGACAAGGGCATAGGAGGTGCAGGAGGCATCCACCAACTCAGAACTTGCTCTTTCTTTAATAATCAAAGCCACACTCCAGCAGAAGCCAGTGGGCCGACTGCTTCATTAATTAAACCTGAACAAGCCCCTGTCTGCTCTGTGAGGAGGGCATCAGGAAGTAAACGGTCCTTTTTTTTTGTTTTTTTTGGTTTTTTTCTTTTTTTTTTTGGTCCTTGTTTTTGTTGTTGTCTGTTTTGTTTCTTGGGTCTGAGCGCTCATGTGCAGACCCTGCACTGCCTGGTCCCACGTGTGAGAGCCCCCTTAAATCACCCTGGGCACCTCACTTGCCTTACCCTAGTCCTGCCTGTGAGCTAAGCCTTTATTTCTAGACTTGAACCCCACATGGATCCACTATGGGATAAACCAGGGTCCAGTTCTCAGCAGAGGGTCAGGTCTTTTGAACTTTGAATCTTATGTTATAAATGACCCTCTTCCTTACTTTCCTCCTTCCCTATGTCTTCTGCCCACCTGGGTTCACTTCCTTTTTTATTTGCATGAATGTAATAGTAAGACAACTGGATTTAGTCAGGAAACCTGAGTTCGGATGTTAGTCTTGCAACCTGGGAATGTCCCTTAAACTCAAGAGTGACAGTAATTCCTGACTGACTTCACACAATGGCCATGAGGATTAAATTAAGTTCTACATGAATGCAATTTGTAAACTGTAAAGGGGTCCTCCAATTCAGGAGGCCTGGAGTGTCAGTTAGCAGTACAGCCCTGAAGAGCAATACTGAGCGTCCCTGTGCTGGCTCAAACATCCAGGGCTGGGGCTGGGGCTAATAAAGCTTCACATATCACTACCAACTTTAAAACAATGATCTCTTAGAGTCAGGATCAGGAGTTCATCTGGGCCAGGGCCTTCCAACCTGGCTGAGTAACATCATACTTGGGAACCTTCCAGAAACTACTAAGTAAGCATAAGAGGTTGCAGAAGAAAGGCTAGAAATAGATGTTTTTAAAGAGTCCACCCCCAGGGTGGGATTGCAGAGATCATTCAGGTTTGGGGGAATCACTGGTATCTAGTCTGCCAATGCTCATTTTGCAGATGAGGCCGTTGCCTTGGGAAAGTTAATTCATCCAGGTCTCAGATCAGCACAGGAAGCTGGGCTAGAACTTGGGAGTCCTCAGTGCCCAGAGATCTTAACGAGACTTTGGGCTGCAGTCTGAAAAGTGAGCCATCAAGAGGAAACCTTGCTTTTGCTTGATTACAGAAAAGCTTCAGGCTCATTAATCCAGAATTTTAAAATTATGATTAATACCTATAAAAAGTTATTATGATTTTACTACAAATAATTCATCTAAAGCTTTTTATGATTTAACTGAGTATTACCCTTGTTAATTAATATATATTATTACATCTATCTGGTCTAGAAACATGAAAGGCTGAAAACCAGAACAAAGCACCTCCTGGAACAGAGTTTTTACAAAGGCAGACAGAGCACATGACCGTCAACTCCAAAAGCCACAGGATTGCCGATAGAATCGATCAGTAGAATGGCTGGCCCTGGTTGGGTAGCCTCATTATAGGAATCACACCTGTCCTAAGTTCTACATTGTAAGCACTCAAAACACAACAGTGAAACCATCAATTTTTCTCACTCACACTTCACACAGTTGACCTCTCTCTTTTTGGTCATTTTGATCAGGTTGCTTTGCGCAGTTAAGATTTCACTTTGCTAGTTCATAATGGCTGAAGTGTGGGGCTCAGCCAGGTTTTTCCCTGAAGATTCAATTTTTTTAGATATTGTGGATTGTGCAGTTTCTGTCACAATTCTGCCACTGTAGTTCGAAAGTAGCCATAAACATGCAAACAAATGGCTGTGGCTGTGTTCCAACAAAACGTTTACAAAAACAGGTATTGGGTTTAATGTGGCCCACAGGGCATAGTTTGCCCACCTGGCTTCAGAGTAGATGAGACCATTTTACACACACACACATGAACTTTTACTTACGAATAAACCTTATCTTTCTAAGCAGTTATGATATTTCCTCACAATGTTTCCATTGCTCAAACTGTTTCAAGACCTGGAGCCGCCTTCACACTAGGTTTCACGCCACTTAAAATCAGTCATATTATTTAGCAGAGGCCATCATGGAAAAGGTTTCCCAACTAAATTACTTTTTGACTAAGATGAAAAAAAATTAAGGAAGCATCTGAAAAAGAATGTTTAAAGACTAAGTACAACTCAAGACGAAAGTGTATATCCCAGCAGAACCGAGCACTTGGGTGTTGGGAGAAGCCATCACTTACTTGCAAATAGTACAAGCAAAGCAGTTGGGATGGTAGGTCTTGCCCAGGGCGGTCACCACCTCTCCTTCCACGAACTCCCCACAGCCATGGCAGCGTGTGCCATACATCCTCTGGTAGTCCAGCGTGCAGAGATATTCCCCATTCTTTATGAAGAAGCCCCCTTGTGCCAGGTCACAGCCGCACACTGTGGAGAGATAAGTTCATGGCTGGTCATCATCTGCCAGGCTGCTGGGCAGCCGTGCCTTTGACTGCATTCTGGTAACTTACTCTATGATCTCAGTGGTTTGGGGTTGGGGAGGCGCCTGGTACAAAGAGCTATTTATTGTTGGACTCTGAATTCTCTCTTGCCTCTCTCCGCTTTATTTCCCTCCCTTAGGGAGCTATGCAATATCTCATACAAGTAAAATCCATTGGCTAGGTCTCAATATCTAAGATTCAGAGATAATCCATCTTTGATGGAAAGATACCATTGGTTCATGTCTCAAATATGAACAAAGGGATCCCTGGCAGGGCTATTTAGGAAAGGAGTCCACTGCTTGCCCACACAACTGCTTGGTTTGGACTAAGACTGTTACTGAACTGAGTAATAAATTCCCACTATACCAAAAGCAGGAGCTGAAATGTCCCCAGTGTCTATTTTTACACACTCTGGAAATACTTTCTCACAGTGATGAAAATTTCAGACATTCAATTTTCTCTTTGTTCAGTAAATAGGATAAGCCAATTATTTATATATTAGGGAGAGATAAAAATGAACAAAGAGGAATGAAAAGAGAATATGTCTAAGATAAAACCATCATTCAAGACCTTAGTACATGCAAAAGGGGATGCTTTGCTGTGTCTGGATTTTGGCATCACTTTCAAAACGGTGCAGCTGTGGATCATGGTGATGGTGCAAAGCAGCAGATCCTGGGGTGGATGCCAGGGGCTTGGGCCTGATCTATCTACATGTTCAGACAAGACCAGAGGAAGGTGCAGCCACTTGTCCCAAAATAAAGCCTACGGCAGACCCTGGAATAAAGGTTTTTCCAGTGCCACAGGCCTGGTAAGTACCAGCTAAAGCTGGAACTCTCCAATCTCAACCTGTCAATTCTCAAGGTTAGGTGACTCCCATATAACCAAGGGCCTTCAGCAAAGAATCCAGAATTCTTCTTGGTTATTCCTGCAAACATTTGGAATGGGCACTCAGTGAGGGTAGGAAACAGGTGACTTCAACCACTAAACTGCTTTCCTACAGACGTGTTCTAGGGTTCCTCTGATTAGTTCCCATGACTCGTTCATGCATCCAAATGATTCAGAGCTGAGCTCAGTAAGACTGAGAGAGCTCACTACTCTCCCGCTCTCAGTTACTTACCTGTACTGACTGAAAACTATTAGAGATGTCAAGGTGACATAGAACCTGCAAACAAGTTTTCCACCATGGATTTTTCAGTCTGTTTAGATCAACACTCCACAGCTATGACCTCCTTTGCAATTTATAATTAAGTAACCCAAGATGATGGCTTGAGTCCACCACACATGAAAATGACCGCCCTATAAATACCTCTGTGATCACATTACCTGGAAACCAGCTCATTCACCACCTGCTGCCTCCTCTAATCTGACAGTGCCCCACTGTTCTTATACCTACTTCTTCCTTGCCAGATGGATTCTGCAGGTTGAGGGAACTCAGGTTTGGACTAACATCACCTGGATTCTGTAAATTCCTTCTGCAGCAATAGACAGAATTCTGGGATTGGGGGGTGGGGTCACAGAACATCTTAGAGATTTTTCTTCAATATTTTTCTATGTGCATATCTTATTTTTCCACAAGATGACGAGCGCTTTGCTGGTGGGCAGCTGTGTCTGTGGGGAGGTCTCTCCCTGTGCACCAGGTGAAACCTCAACTTAGATGGGGGAGGGTTCTTGACTCTGAATGAGAAAAGAATTCATTAAAGCAAGAGTAGCCTGGAATAGCAGCTGCCCTGCAGGCAGCAAAGAGCAGGGAAGAGCCAGGGGCAGGGAAGCTCAGTATAGCGCAGATCCCTTGTGAAATCCTAAAGCAAGGGTCACCTGGCATCCTGTGTCTGCTTGGATCTGCAAGGCATGGGAGCTAAATCTACCACCCCAGGATTTGGGGGAGCCACAGAGCACTGGATGGAGTGAGATTATATTCTGAGAACTTCCCAAAGCAAAGAAAGGAGATTTTCAGGCAGGCTACTAAAGAGCAGGTTACAAAACTGCAGTTTCATCCGGGTCACCCAGGCGATGGGAACTTGCAGGCCCAAATCTGAGCCCTCAGTAGCCCCTCCCTACTTTTCTGAAGTAGAACAGAGACAGAGTGAAGATGTGTGCTTAAGTCTGGAGCACAGAATGGAGTAGCAAAGTGAAGCCTACCGCTGGAAGAGCGCAGAGACAAAGCACAGTCAGCCGAGCAGTGACAAGGCTTTACTTAAAAACTACACACTTGAAGAAAAGAGAGGGCGGGTGACCTCAGAGAGGAGGAGCACCGAAGGATCTGGAGTTTGGGGTTTTATAGGGCCTTTGAGGTAGGGGTGAGCATGAAGCATGATGGATACAGGGGGTTCCTAATTCCCATTAAGTTTTGTCTTAGGAATAGGATTAGTTAGGTGGCTGTGTTGGGTGGGATCTCAGCCTTCTTCACCCGCACAGGGTCATTGCTCTTCTGAGGTCTCTCTCCTGCCCTGGTCCCAAAGTTACTTAATTGATTAAGAGGAGGGAAGAGGAAGAACAGCCTATAGATTAAGTTTAAAGAATAAACTGGGCCCTTTTCACAGGCTAAGTAGATCTTACAAAGGCATGACCCTTGTCCCGTTTCCCTGCCCTACCTCAACTTAATGGTAAGCGCCCTCATCTTTACTTCTTTTGATTGTTCTTCAGGAACCTTCAACCATGGCATCTAATGTAATACCGGGAACAACAATTTTTGAATTAAGTTGAATCCAGCCGCAAACTTGGCAGTTCCCCTGGAATTTCACCCCTCAGTGACATCACTAGTTCTGATGAATCGGTTGTTCTTCCAAACTTGAGTATTTTTCAAAGCCACTGGAAGTGCCAAAATAACGAATTTGGACTATCAGTATAGTAATTCCCTTTATTCTCTCCTCCAGTCGCCTAGGGTAAGTTTAAAAATTAGCAAATCCTTTGTAAATGGATCTGGTGGTAGCAGGTAATTGTGCTAATGCAGATTGTTCAGACAGCTTCAAAGCTAATTCTAAATGTTTTGGAGATTCCTCGTATGTGTGGCTTCCTTAGCGTTCCCCTGCACAACCTTTCTAGTTCACAAGGTGAAATTGACAGACTCTCCTTCATTAATAAAGTGCTAGTTTACATGAGCCCAATAAAGCCTTAGAAAAATGACTTTGCAATTACTGTTGAGAGTTGTCAAACTACAATCAAACTCTGCTCCTTTGCAACGTGCTTTGGCCTAGCCCTCAAATTCAAAGCAGTGGCCCAAACTGGCTTTGCAGATGGACCACCACCTCTGGTGGCTCTTACACAAGGAAACCAGCATCTGCAGAAAGATTCACAGAGGCAGCGGTCACTGTCAGCACACAAACCAAGCCCTGAGAAGGAGAATCTGTGCTGCCAATACCTAAAAGATACTTAACATGATTACATTTCCTAAGAACGGACCAGTTGTGACATAGTTTCAGACTCCCCCCTTTTGCCCTCCAGCCTTATTCTTGCCTTTTCCTCTTCCTCTGATCATTACATCTCAGTCTCCTTGGCCAGACCCTTAAATGCAGGCACCTCCTCTGAACTCCATCTCCTTCCTCTAGAACACAGGAGCCTCTGCAATTTCATCCACTGTTACAGCTCAGATTTCATCCAGATCTCACCCACTTTTACATCTTTAACTATGACTCTGCACAAAGGGTCAACGTCTCTCTCTGTGACGCCTTCCCTACGAGTTAGGCCTTTATGTTTAACTGTCCGGTGGACACAGCTTGCCTGGCTCAGCCTGGCATTTTCCAAACCCTTTCCTCTTAGCTTCTCTGCCATCCTCCCCGGTAACCTTTTGCTATTCTTCTTCTAGTCCCTGTTTCAACAAAATGGTAGCACTATTCATTCTCCTGCTTTTATACTACATTTTTTAACTGGCCCCTAAATCCAATCCATTTTCCCAACAAAACATTTCTGTGATCCATTCCCTCCTCCGCCTTCTTGCTGCCACCACTAGCATGCTGGCCTTCAGCATCACTCTCCTGTACTAAAACAATTTTATAACAGTGCAAACAACAGGCAAATAACAACAACAACTGGAAACAACCCAAATTTCATCAGTACAGCAATAGCTGAATAAAGTATGGTATGTCCAGTCTAAGGATCTGATAATAAAAAGAAAGGATTAAATCAATATCTACAATCTAGAGGCCTGTCTAAGATGTAGTCAGTGAAAAGACCACCACAGAGTAAAGAATTTTAATGATCCCATTTTAAAAAAAGGTCTATATTTTTATGAACAAGGATGAGGTTAGCACAAACGTGGATTATTAAATTGGTTATCTCATGAGGATGAGAATTAACTTTTTCTTCATGTATCTATGCATCGGCTCACTTAAAATACTTTAATTGTGGTAAAATACACACAATATAAAATTTTCCGACTTCATCACTTTTAAATGTACAGCTCAGTGGCATTAGTACCTTCCTATTGTCGCGCAGCCGTCACCACCACCAGCCCTAGGACATTTTTCATCTTGTAAAACTGAACCTCTGCACCTATTAAACAAGAGCTCCCCATTCCCTATTCCCCAGCCCCTGGCAATCACTTCTACTTCGTCTCTATGAATGTTTAACTACTCTAGGGACTTCATGAAAGAGGAAGCTCACTTTAATAATAGAATGTTAGGAAAAATTATCCGAAACTTGTAAAAAAGGTAAGGGAGAGAAGCATATTCTTCCAACATCACACTGCAGCATTAACAGCCCACACGAGGATTGTTTCATTACCCAGAGCATTTGATCTCTGTTTGACAAGCAATTTACTATTGATTAAAGGCCCAGACTTTCAAAGTTAGTGGTAACGTGTAGATTCTTGCCTGATACAGATGCAGATGATTTCTATACAGCTTTATTGTCCTGTTGGACTGCTAATCAGTTTATATCCAACCTACTCCTTTGATTCTCCTCTGAAGAGCTTTACCATCCTGCTGGAGACCCGTTAATGTGTTAAATAAA